GATCAAAGCTCTCTGGGAATAGTATTTTGACAATAATCATTCCTACTATAAAAATATGAAGTCAAAGATAATAATGTCCTTTATCAACAACCCTAATCTCAGAACACTAGACCTGTATTATATTCTCTGCTCTTCACCGGGCCTGCTCCTCTGCTGTTCACTTAAACACAAGCACGGAGGTGGTGCTAAGTCCTCAGGCTCTGGGGATCAAAAAAGCTGATGGAGGCCTCGGACCATATCCCTTCCTGTGCTCTGGCGCCTTCTAATAAAATTATGTTAAATAATACATACATTGATTGCTGCATTGCTATAACAGCCAACGTGTTCTTATATCCCAGGTAAAGTTGCGGCTTTTAACCACAATTTGGAGTTGTTTGATCATGAAATAATAGTCTTCGTAGATGGATTATTTAAATACATACACGATTATAAACTATGGATACTTTTCAGAGTTAGGGGTGTTGAACCAGACTAATGAATTAATGCAGTGGTTTTTACAGACCCCACATGTCCAGTTATTCATTTCACAGCTTACTCATGGTGTTAATACTACTTACTGTAGACACAGCTGAGCCCTGGCCACTGACAGAAGCACGCTACCAGTCTGTGCCAGCGGCTCATCCGATCACCACAAACCAACTGATCCCCTATGAAACATCTTCATAGAGAGGACTGTGGTATATAGTGGGTTTTGTCATTACAACTTAGGTGAAATTTGCAGTCATTAAACATCTTCTCACTTGGGTACGGCTTCTAAGATAGAAAAAATACAAAATTTAGGTCAATATCTATTTAGTTTTGACTTATTTCAATAATTAAAGATCTCGTATAGTAAATAATTATTCCTTATCATATCAGTAAAAAATTGTCAGTCACGATTGTACCACATACTTGTGTTTGGTCATATGTTTCGTCGGCCAACATTTCGATATTCTTAATATACCTGTACCAACTGCCCTTATTGTGCAGGTAGCGGGCCCAATCAGAGGACCTGTATCAGGTCAAAACATGGCCTGGGGGGGGGGGGTGGGGGGGGGGGGGGGCATCAAGGTGTGCGTGCAAGTTGATAGGTTATAGTATAGCAGAATTTGGGATTCCATCTAGATGCACTGCTATGCATTTAGCACGGAGGCCATGCACTCGAAGGTATTCATCATGGGGTCTTCCATCTCTGGCCTTTCCTGGAGAACGAGAGCCTGGAAATTATTACAACAAACATAGTAAAGCTCCAGGGTCCATGGCATGTAAATAACAGAATACACCTGACCTGCTCATTTTGTGGCTGAGGATGTTCGTGCTAGAAATCTATTTAAGATTCTTACAGTGGTGGAAAATGCACACGAACAATGAAGTAGGTATGGAGCCAACTGCTCAGTGTTACAGGTGTGGAAATTTTGGGGTCAGTGCAAGAAACTAATGGGTGTTCTGTGCGGTGTCATAGTTTATAGCTGGCGCTGCCCAACTTTGGAACCCAAAACAATAACTCATTCATTCATTCCATTTCAATCCATCTCTGATTGGGGGGATGACAAACAGAGGCTGCCACCCTATGCTCATAGCCTAGAAAGCCATCCGTCGCTGATCCTCTGCAAGTGTGAGTCCAAAGGAAGATGCTGATTACATCGTGGTGGGCCTGAGCCCTGGTGGTTTCAGCGGGCATTGTAGGTTTAAGTGTATTGCCCAATACACAACACAGCGATATTAATGGGAGCATTATATAGCTCAAAACCTCAACCTTATGGACCAAAGTCCAATCTCCTTACTCAATCCATTCCCAAACTCAGTAACACCGAGGCCCCCTTAAAATTCTGACGGGTCTGCGGGGCCCCCCCATAAATTATAACCAAGAAGACAACATTAATAATAGGCTCGGTCCTGGTTTTTTATTTTGGGGAAATAGCCCGGTGCTACAAGCTTTGGAATACAAAAAGATTACAGTGGATATTCAATCAATAATGAACACAAATATTTTAATATTACTAGTGGGAAACATTATATTTAACTTTAAATAATTTTATTAATTTTATTTTTTTTTTTTTTGACCTCCCGCGCCCTTTGCAGTTAACCCTCGTGGGAGACTCTGCTCTTCCAAATGAGCTACTGTCGCCCCCCAATACAATAAATATGTAACAATTCCCGTAACTCGGCCGTAGCTTGGTTTCTCTCACTTGTCACCATATTTGAATGGGGTTCGTCGCTCTGCCCATCACCCTCTCCAGTGTTATAAAGATAATGACTGCTGGCTTGGTCTGATTTGTTCACAGTATTGGGACTGAAACTACTCTTTACGGGTGTACGCAACTTACAACTAAGGTTAGGGTACTCCAGCTTAGCAAGTTGATTACTTTTTGGGCTTTGTAGTTATGCCCTTTCATTTTTATGTAAGGATAAAGGTTAAAACATACTCTAATGAAGATAAAGAGCGCAGCTTCAGACTGTAAGACCGAAGTGCAAATTCCCATTCCAGCCTGCATAGCTCACAGCTCTGCACAGCCTCGACCTCAGACAAACACACAGCTCTGCATCCTCGAGGCTTCACCACAATCAAACTGCGCTGCCATTTCTCATGCCTCAGCATGCTCACAGGCCCGCCTGCCTCCTGCCATCCCTCTCACAGCAAAGCGGGCATTTAAAAGGGCTGCCACTCCTGACAAGCAATGCTGCCTGAGGCCTCTTAAACACCCACCACCTCCCCTGCCAACTCCTCTGGCTCCCGCCTGCTCCCGCTCGGAGCTCCCGCTCGGGCTCCCGCTCCATCGGGGCTCCCCGATCGGGCTTCCTGCTCCTGCTCCGGCTGCTGGCTACGCCCCATTCACACCATATTCTAGCCACCATCCAGTGCTTGTTCCCCGGGGGGATCTTAGATCATTTCACTGCAATCGTTACATCGCGCAATTCAATGAGCCAAATAATAATAATGTAATTGCATTAATTGTGGTCTTTGGTCTCTTCAGAGTGAATGAATTCTGTACTTGTGGACCACCGGCCCAACCTAGTAATAGTTGTAGGAAATCAAGCTGTTTTGTTAGTTCCTCGTTGTGAAGATGTGCGGCTCACAGTAGATGGGAAATTCCAAATTGAAAGAGTATAAATAGGAGTAACATAGTCCAGAGTTTCCACCAAAAGCTTTTTACAGTGTTTTTCTGATACAAGTTCTGAATTTATTTGCAGTAAGAAAGGCAAGAATAATCCTGACCTCCCAGATATAAAACCACAGAACAAAATTGTGAATAAACGAACCATCATCTCGGGCTTCTGTCACATTTCACAGCTCCAGCGTGAAAGTAAAACAGCTCTGCCTTAGAATGTACCTAAAAAAGTCAAGCCAAGTTCAGAGACGCTTAGAAATGAGGATTTAAAATGGGTTATAGTTAAAGGATTAACAGTCAAATGAGTTAATTGAAGACAGGAACGTAAGCTTCTACGAGAATATACATTTAAACATCCTATGTAATCACACACACCCCACGCAGTATTTCAGTTTAGTCCTTTTTTGGATAATGGTAAAATTGTCCTATAAGCATGCTCGTGGTCAAATAATTCAAAAAACATCATGCTCTTGTGCCACAGAAACTGATGGCCACTTTTTTGAGAGTCTGCAAGTGTATGGTGGTCAACATGCCCTGATTCAATTTTATATGTGGAAAATTTTTATTCTGTAGAGTACCATTCATATTTGTGAACACAAATGATTGCCGAACTAGATTGATGAAACGGCAATATAATTTTTTTATAATTGTCAATATTGTGGTCATTTGTTTTTTTAGAACTACTGATCTTCCTACGGTCGCTCTCCACCTGTTTGTTCTGTATTCCAGTTATGAATGATTACTTCACATCCTTTATAGCGTGCTTGATTCGTTGGTGACTCAGCTGCGTGCAGGATATAATTGGCTCACATTGATGTAAACATCCAGGTCTCATGGAGCAATGTAGATCCTTCTTCCGTTCATAATAATAATCACAATCACTTGTTCAAATAAATTGCAAATAAATTACTTCCAGATACTGTACTTCAGCAATTGGGATGTGGGCATCATAATATTTTGAAAGTTTTTCTGTCTGTACATGAAGGAGCTTCCTGGTTCTTGCTACATTTTGAGGAGCTGGACATTTCTAATTCAAAAAGGTTGGTTATTTGTCTGGATCGCGAATTTGCCTCATAATTCCGAAAGTCCAGGAAAGATGTATCCACCATTTCGTTTTTTCCTCTAACTTGCTATTTATTTTGCTGTTAATGTGTAAATCAGCGCACAGGGAATAGTATGGGGTGAGGTGGGATGGGGAGGTGGGGAGGGGCGGTTAGGGGAGCGGGGTGAATTTCCACAAACATAGAATGCAGAGGCCGGTGTGAGGCCTGGAATGCTCATGAGCTCCACAATCATAATTATCTGCTGTCGCCATCCATCACTCCCCACACGAAACTTGGGCAGGACTGGCACACACACACGCACTTGTAACTCGCAAAGAACAAGCAAACAAATGAAATACAAAGATCTCAAAATAACATCCACTAAGTTTATAATCCGGTTCAAAATTATACTGGGAATAAACTATACAATTCGAACAATAGAAATGGGTGGATTGATCCTATCATAGAATCAGACAAGGGATTGCAGTGTAAAATGGATATATATAAGCATGCTAAATAATGGGGTCATTTCTCCCTACTATATTGAATTGGAGCGGTAAAAAAATTGTGTCTGGTCTCTTTCTGTCTTGGATTACAATATGTCTTTGATGTTCAATACCTATCCCCTGAACAAATCAAATCAAATTGGCAAAACTGATTGATCAATAAGTCGTGAAATTATAGCATTAACTTTGTGGTCATATTGCTCAGCCCTTTTGTCTCTGGGCAAGCTAGGAGTGAGGTTGTTCTATTATGCTATTTATGTGTAGGGGGATTTGGTTTTAGTGAGTGAAATCATGATGAATTATTTATGGGTTTTATATTGGATTTGGGGTTTTAGTAGGTGTTTGGTGGAGTGATTTAGGTGATGGGTGTGAGGGGGGGGGTGGTGGGGTGTGTGGGGGGGGGGGGTGGGGTGGGTGGGGGTTTTTGGTGTGGGGGGGGGTGGTGTTGGTGTTGGGGGGGGTTGTTGGTTGGGTGTTTGTTGGTGTGTGTGTTGGGTGGTTGGGTGGGTGTTGGGGTTGTGGGTGGGGTTGGGGTTTGTAGTTTTTGGGGTTGTGGGTGGGGTTGGGTGGGGGTGGGGGGTGTGTTGGGGGGTGTTGGGTGTTGGATGTGGTGGTGGGGTGGGTGGTGATTGGAGGGTGGGATTGGACGATTGGAGGATGCAAGTGCCTTCCAAAAAATAGTTATTTTGTTACTATCCCTCCTCATAATTATTTCGGGCGTTATAAACTCAGGATGACTATAAGAGGGATTTTCTCCCACCGAGGCAAAAACATGGGTTGGTCTCTCCTCTGATCACTACGCAGCGACCTGCTGGCTGTCTGGACCGGACGCCATCTAACCCGCTCACGGGTTGTGGTGAAAAATAGGCGTGTTATGTGTGGAACGCTACAAGAGGACGAATTTTAGCGGTATTTCTGTACAGCAGAAAACGCACAAATGGGTCAGGTGATGAAGTTATAAAACTACCACCAAGTTAACGGACAGATAATACTTTGCAAATGTCATCGTTTACAGAGTGTGACAAGAGTGGAAGCTCTTATCCATAAAAAAAAAGTTTGGCCTTTGCGCGGCTGGCTGCGCTTTCCTTATAAAGTTGGTCCTTGAATTGGAAAAAATTGGAAGAATAATATAAGTGAAAATAAAATTGGAATGTTTATTTTGCTTACATGGATGCTTTGCATTTGCCATTTTAATGTGGTATTCCCCACACATTAATTATTGTACTGTTATCGCATATGTTGGGCGCCTACATGACAAAAGAGGGTCCCTGCTGCTGGCCCTGTGAGCATCAAAGTCCAGAGATAGGTATTGATTTCACGTGGTATCACATCACTGCTCTGCGTGCGTCTTGTATCAGAAAAGTGCTCTCACCTTGACACATTTTGGTTTCGAGCATTTTTAGGCTTGGACCATCCCATTGGACGCAACACTAACCTGCCTTCTACAGTAAAATAAACTCTCCTGCCTAGCTGCTTTTCTCTAGCTACCTTGTGCCTCTTGAGACTTGTGTGTAATTATACAACCCTTTCTTCACCTTACCCAAATCTGAGCAAAGAGCAATTCCTAACAGTTAATTTGTTCTATTTTGCTGTCTGAAGTATCTCTAAATTTTGTCGGTGTTTTCACACTAGAGCCATGCCCATTAACGAGGGGTTAAAGTACAGTCTTTTTGATACAACCACCTAGGACCATACAAAGGTTTTGGGACAAATTTTTGGAAAATTATAGCCGTGAAGTACTTGGGACCTTTGACTCCTCTGCGCTGTGAGCTTTGAGAGCTCTGACTTTCATTCGTCATATCTCAACCGTGACATCGTGTCTCTGACATGTGCTACTGCTCTTTGTGTGTAATAGACAGCAATGTTTCAAAACACATGTTGGAGACTACTGCTCTGACATAGTTTTCATTGATCGGATCAGTTGCAAGCCCTACTAATCCTCTCGGCTCGCCCCCGATCAGAACCGGTCCAAGCTGATTGTCCGATCAGTGGAATCATCTCCGACTGTTGGTGAGCATCTTTGGCATCACATTCATGCAGCATTGTTCCTCAACGGCCGTGGTGTTATTTGAGTTAAACCAGGCTCAGGAGGAGGAGAGCAACAAGAGGGTGCATTCGGGCACTCTCCTTCTCAGTCACGGCGGCTCCTTATGCTCTCGATAACGTATGTCAGACTCCTAAAAAAAACTTGTTCCTGCACATCCTCGATGTTTTTTTTTCCGGAATGCCAATTTACTTCCAGCGATAGCCGGCCTTTAGATCCAAAACCCACTCTATGTGTCCCCGTCGGGTATAGACCCCCCCACTGGAATCGCAGCCATACCGGTTTGCATTGTAGCGTTCCCTCACAAACACACAAACCGTGGAGCGCGCCCATCTCCCCCCTCCTCCTCTTTCTAATGGGGAAAAAGATTGATACAGACACACAGCAAATAGATTTCTCAAGATGTCCTGTCCTGCTTTGCGCTGGTTCATATGAAAATTTAAAGTAGTTTCTTTGCCTAGTTGTTTTTTCCTGTTTGTTGAAACTGTTGTGAATAGATATTACTCTTGCATGTATATGTTTATGTGTTTCGTAATCCGCACGCATGTTGCCCTGTTCCCATTTAGGCTGAGCAATATGACAACAAAGTTAATTAATGGCTTTTTGTTCTCAGACTTATTGATTCAAATATCAATGTTTTCAGATTTGATTTGCTTTAGTCTCAGGATAGGATGAAATCTAGACATATTGTTCTCAAGACGAAAGAGACCCAGACACAATTTTGTACGCTCATTTATTTTTAATAATAGGGTGAATGGACCACAGTTTTGGAAACTGCAGAGTTACATGTTTACAGGCTATCACGTTTCTGTTCTATGAGGGGATCAATCTATCCCTTTTTCTATTGTTCGAAGTGTATTACTGTTTTTTCCCTAGTTGTATTGTGGATATGTTATTAGAATGGTGGATTGTTTTGGAGTGATTTGTATTTTCCTTTTGTTGCGTGTTCTTTTGCGTGTTCTAGTGCACGTGGGTGATGCAAGGGGCTCATCAATTTTCGTGTGGGAGTGATGGATGGCAATGGACAGCATCTAATATATGTGAGCCATCTGTGCATGCAGCCCTCTCTCCGGCCTCTGGCAGTCTATGTTTGGTGCATCTCCCCGCCTCCTCCCTTCCCGCCTCCCCCCCTCCACCCCGCCCTCCTCCATTCACTGCCCAGTGCGCGGCTCGTGTATCGCAGTAACAAGCATTTAAATAAGCATTTTAGTGAAAAAAAAGAATGGAGGATCATCCTTTCCTTGGTCTTCCCGGAAAAATGAGGCTAAGTTAGCGATCCAAGAACATTACAAAACTTTTGAATTTAGAATGTACATGCGCCCTCCAAATTGTGCAGTATCCCAGGAAGCTCCTCATGTATGCAAGACAGGCAATTATAATAAACTTTCTATTTATTTGGGTGTCTGATCGTTGCATCCAATTGCGGCCTTGACATTTTATGGATGTTATTTTATTGCATTTGTTCTGATATGTGGAGGTGAGTATATATTGTGGATCGAAGTATGGGCTCTTCATGGCTACAGGTGTACGGGATGTTTTATCAATGTGCCAATTACTCCGCGGCAGTTTATTGTGACTTTATGATGCATGCATAGAGATATCAGTATGGGTAGATTATCATCTTACGGACATTCTTTATAAAGGCTGGTGATGCGTCATGCGTTGGAAGAATCGGTTTGTGTCTATATATACTAAGGGATCACTGGTATACTAACAATAGTTGTAACGTGTTTTGTGCCGATTTCAATCAAGCTTGCGCAATCAATAGGTAGTTTCAAAGTCATGAATTAAGTCTCTAGCAGTTTTATGTTTCCACATACTAAAAGGTGTAATAAGGCATGTTGTACATAATATAATAGTATATAATATAATATATATATAGTATATATATATATATATATATATACATAATCTTTGCAGTATCATCATAAAAGTGCTGCGGTTTACGGGGACACTAGATGCAGTTGTGTGTTGAAGTTAGTGTGTGTGGGGGCCATGGGTTGGTGTAGAGGAACTATTGTTAATACCATTATCCTTATGGACGTTATCTTGAAAGTATGGTTAAGTGGAGGTTGATACGTTATATTTCCGTAGTAGCTTCCCGTTGCCTTTAGTCATGTTAACTCATTTGTCCTGTTTAATCGTTGTATTCGTTAACCCATGTTAATTTCGCCAAGCATGTGCTATGCCGTCATCTGTAAGTGGCGGTGACTTGTTAGGGCATTCTTAGAGCTAGAGTAGTTTTTTAACGTCGTACTGGGTGCTGTGTTAGTGGTGACAAGAATGCCGATTGATGGTCGTCTTAGTCTACAATGTGTCGGGTGGTTTTTTTCTGGAGAGGTCTGGTTTGGCGGCGACTTGCCTTAAGGGGCAAATATTAATACTGGTAACTTGTAGCTTATAACACATCGGGTAGATACGGCGTTTGTGGGTTAAGACTCTCTGGTACATATGTTAGCGAATTAATACTATGTCATTTTGGCCTTTTCCTTTTCGCCCTCTACCAGATCTTGAGCAGCAAATCCTTCATCAACGAGGAACTAAAAAATTATGCGTTGATTCTACAACTTTTTCGGTTGGCAGTGTCCTCACTTGTAACAGATATCATTCAATGCTGTAGAGACAAAAGACACTTTTATATGGCTATATATAAATATTTATTTATGTTGGCGCAGTGGGACTCTTGCAGCGATGGTTGATCGATGGCAGCTGAAGTTGATCTCAATCCACCCGCCCACCGGGTGCATGCTCTGTTGGGTGGCTAGAATATGGTGTGATTGGCGTAGCCAAGCAGGAGCCAGAGCTGGAACCCTACGGAAGTCCCGACGGGAGCCAAGCGGAGTCCCCGAGCGGGAAGACCAAGCGGGATAGCCAGAGGAGGTGCTGGGAGGGTGGGGGGTGTTTAAAGAGCCGCAGGAACATTGCTTTGTCCAGGAAGTGGCTGCCTTATTTTATCGGCCCGCTTTGGCTGTGAGGTTGGCAAGGCTGGCCGGGCTGTGTGATTGCTGAGCTTGAGAGATTGGCAGAGCTGTTGATTTGGCTGAAGCTCGAGCCCGTGCAGAGCTTGTGATTGGGCTGAGCTCGAGGCTTGGCCCAACTGTGTGGCTTGCAGCTTGGAAAGGAATTGCACTCGTGGGTCTTATCAGTCGAAGCTGCGCCTTAGGATTCAAGAGTTATGGTTTTTATTTTATCCTGTTCCTATGTAAAATAGATAGGGAGAAATTTCAATCCTAAAAAATGTATTATACTGATAAAGATGGAGTACCTAACTTTAGTTTGTGTTGGTGCAAACAGACAAGAGTACCTGGTTAAGTTACTATACGTTAAAAATCAGACCACGACATGCTGTCTTTATATTTTACCACTGAGATGTGATGGCTGAGCGAAGAAACCAATTCAAAATGTGGACATGTGAGAGAACCAACTAGGACTAAGTTAACTGGATTTCTTACATTGTTATTGTTTTGGGGCGACAGTAGCTCATTTGTGTAATTGCATGTCTCCCAAAGAGGTACTGCAAAGGGGCCGCGGGAGGGCATTAAAAAAAAAAAATAAATAAGTAAATTTAATTAATGTTAAATTTAT